TAAAATTAATTTCATGTAACAAGTATTGCAGCTAAAAAGTGTCACTGGTGAGATGTGACGTAGGCAATATGCGTACGCAAAATGTGTATGAGAAAAGGAAAGTGTTGTGAACAATCTATTTTCCGCGTGAAGGAGATTTGTAGTATTTTATTTACATTTCTGCAGAAAAGTTTTTAAATCTAACCTCAATTATTGCGGGAAAATAATAAGATTAAGTGAGGATAAATTGATACAAACTGCTGTAAAAGTATGAGTGACATTGATTCACACATTTGAAGAGATATAATTTGAGGATAAGTTGCGCCACGAATTTTTTATTGCACCATAGGTATGACGTCACGCGGATTGTAAGAGAGACGAATGAGACTCACACACACACACACACACACACACACACACACACACACACACACACACACCCCACACACACACACATTCACATACACACACAATGTAGGTTACTATTTGTAACCCTTTATTAGTCTTTCCAAGCAACACTGATGTTCTCTGTTTACATCCCTTAATGTGCTACATCTACAGTCTGAGGTAGAGAGAATGAGAACAAACACCGTAATCTGACGGAATTATAGCTTCCTGTACTGCTCTCTCTCTCTCTCTCTCTCTCTCTCTCTCTCTCTCTCTCTCTCTCTCTCTGTCTCTCTCTCTCTCTCTATCTCTGTTTCTCTCTCTGTGTGTCTCTCTCTCTCTGTCTCTCTCTCTCTCTGTCTCTCTCTCTCTCTGCCTCTCTCTCTCTCTCTCTCCGTCTCTCTGCTCTTCCTCGCAGCAACACAACACAACACAACACAAGACAACAGAGAAGATTCCACCAAAGTCAGACAAGCAGAGCAGGGCAAGGCAGAGAGGAGGGAGGGAGGGTGGGAGGGAGGAAGAGGAATCCACCCCGTCGTCGTCATGCGCGCAAGTGTGTGAGTGTGTGAGAGAGAGAGAGAGAGTGAGTGTGCGCGCGCGCACGCGCATCTCTACGCGCGCGCCCGTCCCTGATCGGCTCCGTGGTCCCCGCCTCCCTGTGTCCCCCGTCAGTTGACGCATTCCTCCTCTCTAACGATTTTGGAGAGGGCTGGCAGGCCAGGAGACAAACCCCGGCCGCTGATTGGTCGAGGCGGGGGCCGGGGCCGCGCGCTGATTGGTGGAGGCGGCCGGCGATTGGGTCAGCATGACCCGCTGATGCCGGGAGATGATGCAAGGACACAAGCGACCTGGACAACCGGCGGTTTTTTGTTCCATATTTTCTTGTCATTCCGCAAGCCATCTTTTCTTTTCTTTCCTTTTTTTTCTTTTTAATTTTTTTTTCTCCTTCGCTTCCTCGCTTGCCCTTCTTCTCCGTCTTAATTTTTCCTCGTCTTCTTATTTTTTTTTCATGGACTTTCTCTCTCTTTCTCTCTCTCTCTCTCTCTCTCTCTCTCTCTCTCTCTCTCTCTCTCCCTCTACCCCTCTCACATAATCAAAGGACAGACTCTGGAACAGTGCACGACGACAGATGCCGTGGTGGAGTGACAGACGACAGAAGGAGAAGCAGAACGAAGAAGGGTAGAAATTTTTTTTCTTAAAA